GTGGAGAGTGCTGAAAGATATGACAGAGTGTACGAAAAGCGCGGTCATGCTAAACGGAGAACTGTCAAAATTCTTCGACATTGAACAGGGGGTCCCACAAGGTTGCACGCTGTCCCCAACATTGTTCCAGGTGTTCATCAACGATCTGTTGTGGATCCAATCCTTACGGTCGGGAAGAGACGCGAGGAAGCTGACCTGGCAGTATCGCATGTGCGGGATGGAAAAGGAGAGGTAGCCGAGAATAGTATGGAAGGCGAAATGGGCAAACAAAAAAAGAGGGGTGGACAACCCACGGAATGGGTCAAGGTTGTAGAGGACGTACCGAAGGGGCTCGACATCGACGAAGATGAAACACTGGAAACGGAGGGTCTGAAGGGGTTCAAGGAGAACATATATGTTGCCTGTTGCTTGTGCCGAGAGAGTACGCCCCCCCCCCCCCCCCCCCCNCCCCCCCCCCCGCCCCGCTTGCTTCCGAACAACCAATTATTGAAGCCCCCTGCTGTTATACGGATACAAGACAAACCCGGGGCTTCGTGTGGTCCGTGGTTGTGACTATTGGCATCTGGACTCTTGTGGGGTGTCTTGCGGGACAACTCTTCTCTCTGTCTCTTCCCAGTGGGTCGATCGACAAATCACGACCGCAAACATTCGTCCGATTGACCGCCCTGCTTCACAAGCTAGCATGCCTGAGGTTACGAGCTCCCATGTTGGTCCCACAGCAGTAGTAAAACAAAAACAGACTTCTTTTCATTGCACTGACTCTTTACCTCCAGGGTTGCGTAGTTGAACGCTCCGTGAGGAAGGCTCATGACGAACTGCGCGCCGGCGCCGCGACTGAGCAGCTTGAGCGACAGGCTGGACAGCTGCGCAGAAGTCCCGCGCCCTTGCATCAACGTCTTTACCACGATTGCTGGGTGCACAGACGTGTGGGCTATGCTTCTACTGACGGCTCCTGCGAACAGAGCTGATACAGAAGTAAGGACGCGGGAACAGAATAGGGTGGGGGGCGTGCGTGCAGGAAAGCAACTACCGCGTGTGCGCGCGTGTTAGACCAAGCACCCGCCCGTGTGTGATCGATAGTGTATAATTCTGATATTTTCAACTCTTGGTTGGTGTCTTTTTGTTCCTGCGCTCGTTCCAAGACACCGTCTCCGTGCTCTACGCAAATTACTCCACGTGCGAAAAACTGACAACTGCTGTCAATGCCTTTTGGCCTAAGCGCCTCGACACTCTCCACAGAATCTACCCAGACTCCCTTACCCACATACCATAGCAATGTATGTACCACACAACACATATGTGATCGGTTGTGAATATCAATGTTTTCAAAAAATATCTTGGGAGATGTCCTCGCGCCTTGCGACTGCATACTTGTCGCAAAAAAAAATCGGGAAAACTCTCTCCCGTTGCCCCCTCACGCTCGCCCCGAAATCAAGGTGTCTCCGCTGTTTGATGCCATGTGTCGTGTGCATTGAACAATCGGTGGGTGGCCACGTGTCAACACTTGGGGCGGCACGCCACAATGTGTTTTGCGTGTGGTAATTTAGAACTCACAGATAGATCATTTTTGCGTGTTGTACTTGATGAGACGGTGTAGTCTACCGCCACCGTAGACTACTTGTACTGCTGTACCACTACGCAAGAAAGTCTACCGCACTTACAGGACGCATATTGGAGATGATACGCACTGCTGTATGTATCATACGTTGTGATACAAGGTGCAGCTTGGTTTTCACGATACAAAAACCAACGACAGAAAGAAAAGATGGTCTGTGCTGGTCACAACCGCTAACAGCAGCACAACTGGCCAACCATTTGGCAATCAATGGGTACAGCAGCGCTACATACCCTCTTTGAAATTAAGGTGGACCTCCCCCCCGCCCCTGGATCTTCGTGCAGCGATCTCCGGAGATTTATCGTGTGTGTCGCCCTTTGTCACCGTCTCGTCGCTGCTGTCGTTGCCTAGAGCTCCGGCTTGCTTTGCTCGGCGGCTGTCATCGCCGTGGGCAGGTTCCACCGTATCCTCCGCACGTCTTCTTCTACCGAATATTCTGTACCATGAAGCTGCTTGCGTGTGGCGCACACGCGAACGCAGCCGTTGCACCCTGGTGTTTGCGGTGATCGTAACGGAGGACGAACTGCTGCTGCGTTGCATTTTAAGCCTGCTGCAGCGGGCGGCGCGAAAACTGCGCGTTGCGACCTGCCCGTGGTGTCCAGCTAGACCTCCACTTCTTCTCTTGCGCGCAGCGCGTTGCCACGACACTACCGCCACAGCGGTATCAGCAACATCCTGCGGTGCCGAGCGAATGGCAGTCAGCACCCTCCCGGCTACTGGCGAAGCTGCCAGTGTAGCGCCGACGGCGGAACCAGAGGCTCTAGCGTGGAACAAAAGCAAGACGGCCAGTATTGCCGTCACGTAGATGGACCTCGCAGCACCCTCCCGTGCCCGGCTACTTGTTATCCCACGCATGGCCATGTGCTGATTACCGTCGGCGAAACGCGTTTGCACAAACTGGAAACGGTGTGATCCTTATCGCTGTCACTGTCGCTTTGCCTCCCCTCCCTGTGCTGTGCAACATGTGCGGGTGAATGTTCTGTCCAAAATGATGCAAACCCCCTCCGAGGCGTTTCCACAGTCAACACAATCTGTCCCCTATCCTCTGCCACCCGACCGACAGGACGAGGGGGGGGGAGGTGAGAGGGTCGCGTGTCTCTTTGGGGGGGCGCTTGGGGTGCTGCTAGGGAGCTGCGCGTTCGACGTTAAACATGTTTTTCACCGACTTGGAAATTGGTTGGAACTCGAAACGCACCGAGTGACGATACGCGAGAAACACGTCCGTCACGCGAGAAACACGTCCGTCACGCGAGAAACACGTCCGTCACTCGCTCTTTGGCCAACGGGCACCGATTGACTACCGCATCGAGAATGATTTCCGCAACATAGTATACATACTGGCGAACAGGCACGTATCTTGAGGTCTGGGGTCACACGAATGTCATCCCCGGTAAACTAAGCAGGCATGCCCTCCGCGTGAATCGTTGATCGCCATGTCCGTTAAAACACTGCAAGGAGCAAGAAGGTAGACATGTATGCGTATGTTTAAGTAGAAACAAAATAAACACGTGATTTTCCTGATCGAAGAACGCCGCACACAACACATTCTCAAAAACAAATAAACGGTGTTCATTCCTACACTACCTTCTGTGGTAAGACCGGACTCGTACCTCTTGTGCAAGAAAAACGACCGGTTTGTCGGCTACAGGGGACAAGTGGGCAAGAGGGGGGAAAGGGTAGACAACAGCGACGTGACACCGTCTGCTTAAAACTACTCTGCCATACACGAACAATACCCCGCCATATATGTCGATGACTCGCTGCTCCATCAATCGTGCGCTCAACCGCGTCACTCGATATTGTTTCGAGTAGGTCGATCAATCCATAACTTTTCCAGGTACAAGATGAGCTTCGAAACCCCACATCCTATGCATGCGACCAGGGAAAGATTACACCACAAGTAGCACACCATATGATGCAGCTTATACGCTAACACAAAAAACGGGAACAAAGACACAGAGGAAACCAACAGCAAGACAAAATGTAATACTTCCTGTGCTTAAAATCTGATAGCATGACACACTAACGATGAGAGCCAAAACTGCCCGGTCCAAGCACTTGGCTGGCCAGGGAAGAACGCACAGAAGGCAGTGGAGCAAAAAAAAAAAAAAACGCGCACATGACTGGATCGAACCAATTGTTGATCAAAACTACGGCCGGGGCATCTCGCAATGCCTTTTCCCTCCAGGAAAACCGAGCCCCCTCTTCTGCGCTTTCTTTTTTCTTCTCCTTGTTCGCCGGCACAAAATGCACACAGCAGCACTACGTGCCGACATTACTACGTGGTCAATACCAAAAAAAAACTACAAAATATTCTGCTGCGGTAAGAACATTCTACAGCCCGCTCTGCTGCGGCAGCAAGAGGCCGGCGCTCTCCAGAGCCCGGTCCACCTCATCTCTGTACTGGCCTTCCATCGGCACCAGCGGGACACGTAGCATGTCCGTCAAGCGACCCATCCTGGCAAGGGCGTACTTCACCGTGACGGGGTTGCCCTGAACGAAGAGCTTGCTGTGCAGTTGGATCACCTAGGAAGGCGTATTTGTTAGTCGTCCGTGGTGGCGTACAAGGAGGGGCGGGGAGGGAGGGTGGGCTTGGTGTATGCACAGCTCGTTGTGCGTGAGGCTACTGACCGCCTAAAAACGTATATTTGGCACCCATACAGGTTTGCTTTGGAGCGGTACCATCGTCGTCGTGAATACTATGGCCTAAACCGATCATGACTCTCTTTCGGAGGGTTGGTTGGGGGCAATATAAATAAATGTATGCATGTGCGTGTTTCGTTTGTGTTTTGTTTTGGGTAATCTTTAATAGTCAGGTTTGGGGACGCAATCATTGAGGCCAGGCATAGATGAGTAAGGGGGCGAGCACCCGAGACCGTCCACACGTTTCATCTACACCTGAGAGGCAAAGCACCGTTCTCGTAAACTACGCCCACATACACACCAGCCCGTGTAGCAGGAATCCTCTTGAAATACTTAATAGCGTTTTGTTGTCCTATCGAAACCGACGAATGTATCGCCACGAGCCAGCCGGTAGCGCGCACACACACATCGCAGTCGGTGTCCAGAGGGGACGAGACCAGAGTGGGTCGAATGGGGAGCAATCCCGATGCCGACGATATTGGAGGCGACTCTTCCGGAGGAGAAAAATGGATTCTCGAACGAAGGTGTACAAGAGGAGAGACCCCCCGTTAGTGGGGCCCGTGAAATATAAAAACGCTCTGCCGGATTTCTCGCAACGCTGAGACGGAACTACCCCTTGCCGGTCACAGCGGTCGATTCTAACTCAGAAACACGGAACACTTCACTGCTAGCATCGACAATTGTCTTCTCAGTCGGTTAGCGCCGTTGATGCTGACAAACAGAAAAACACAGCACGCGCGCGCGCGACCCGGCGCTTGACTAACCTTGCTGTTGATCGATTCCGCCGCTTCTCTGTCCCCCGACCGGCAGGCCCGGACCAGCTCCGACATTTCTCGGGGCGCTACATCGGCCGTTACCGATATCAACCCGTCCCCGCCTCCCAAGCAGTACTCCATCTGCCGTCCAGCCAGCCGTCACGTGGGAACACGATTACAAAAAATAAGACCGACAAGCACCAAGTGTGGAGCAGTCGAAGAAAACCGGGAGTCAAGCGGAGTGGCTCTCGTAGAGAACCAAGAGCTAGGGAGGAAAAGGAGGGGGAGGAGGAGGAGTAGGAGGAGGAGGAGGAACAAGAGGAGCTTAGAAAGAAAAATATATTTACATTAAAATAGGATCCTATGGCCGTAGCCTTCAGTCTCTGTGTAGGTGGGCGATTGCAGTTGGCAAAGAACGGAGGGATGTAATTCGTCGTTCATCAAGTCTCCCTCGAAGCCTCTCCTGAAGAACTTAAGCACATTTTTTACCTCTTGTCTCCACATGGAGCGCCGACTCTGAGGCGTGCCTTGCAACATGCGGCACGCCAGTCCAGAGAGTTGAAGTCGCGTGATCAAACCAGCCCGACAACCAGCACCAACAACATACCAACAAGGGAGCTTCTCCCCCCCCCGCCCCATCGCTTGGCTCACTCACCCCCGTCGCGTCATCCCCACTGTAGAAGAGGAAGCCCTCCGGACATGCCGCCTTGAGCTCCCCGATACGCGACAAATCCCCCGTTGCCTGCCACCCGCATATACAGCAGTGGTTCGCAGCATTTGGGGAACGGTGTACGGGAGTAAAAAATGGTGTACATTAGGTACCCAAGTTCACAGGAAGGTGCTGAGCAGAGACAGCAACATGTTCGAAAACTCGTATTCCATCTGTCAAGACACCAAAGTCAAAACGACAATGTCCTCCTCTCACACGCCAAAAACAGAAAAAAACACGTTGGAAACGCGAGGTCCCGGCGAATGCGAGCGACACGGTGTTTTACGGGTGGCGTTAACATTACCGGTCTAACCCATGAGATGAGATCAAACGAAACCCGCCTTGGCCACAATGCAGTACACCTTCCCAGATGCATCGTTGGCGCTCTCACGAACGGTCACTACTCGTGCAGACGACTAACAAAGCGCGGCTCGAGCCTTAATCCCCCCAGTCACCCTGTACACGCTTCACAACGCACAAAGAGCACACATCAAATGCTGGTTAATACAGGCCCGCCATTCCGCAAAACAAGAAGGGCTTCTTACATCCTTGAGCCCGACAATTCTGGGGTTCTTGGCGAGCTCTGCGATCGCCGCCGTTCCCATGTCGACTGCCGTCCGTCCAGGGACCTGAAGAAGCAACAGGGGTAGCCTTAGCGTTAGGGTTGCATGCCGGAACATGGCAGCAGTAGGGGCCACAGCGTTGTGCCAATAGCAGTAGCAGCAGCAACAGCAGTAACAACAACATCAAGAATACTGGGAGCAGTGCCAACCACCAACATGGAGAATTTTGGCAGCAGCCGTCTACCTGGTCATCTAGAAAAGCGACACCAGAGCACTGGCGTCGTTACTAACAATGGCGAGACACAAGACGAAAGAGCCACGCAACAAGCGCATGAAACTAACTGCTTGTGTTTAAGATCGGTTACTCTAGTCAGTTTTCAACACTTGCGAAAGAACAAATGTAACCCCTCGTTTCGATCCATCAGTCCAGCGCATGCGCGACACACGACACCAACTCAGCAATGTCGACAGCACGGCTACGGAAGGACAACCTCATCGCCCATACACAAACACACCTATTGAAGAAAACAGTAGCCAGGAGAAGAGGCCGGGATGCACCCACAAACATCACAAAACGTCAGGCGAAACAGCAGTAGTCGCCCTCTTATCCTCGCAATGTTGCCTGTCGCGACAACAGGATGGAAAACAATATTCGCTACCTCACCCGTATCACAGGTTATGAAACTGTTCCCGGTTCACGCCAAAGAGCACAGCAACAACCCTACCACCACCACCACAGCAGCTTTCATTCGCCAACGCCGGCTCACGTCGATCGAAAAAAGCACAACGAGGCGGAACAACACCCCCCGTCATCACAGCCGTGGCAGAAGCTGCCCTCGGCTCACATTGTAAAGAACGACCGGTAGCGCCCCCTGATCCGCGACCATCGAGTAAAACTTCACGAGCCCCTGCTGCGACGGCTTCACGTATGCCGGCGTGACCACCAGCACAGCGTCTGCGCCCCGCTCCGCTGCCTGGTGCGTACGATGAGCATATGCATAGGACAAGACGAGGTGAAAAAAATGCACAGATTGCTACCACCAGAGACTACCGCCTGCTGTGTGATGTTACCGATGTTAATGCTGACGTCACTGTTGGGGGGAGGGTCTCTTTCATTGCTGTTGTTGCCGTTGCCTGTATACTCTAGCCTCCTCGGGACAAGGTGGGCACCTGGCATTACCATCGTACGCCACCCCGCGAGTTCCCTTCCGTAGTACATGTAACATGGAACGCGGCATGGTCGCAGCCAAAACACAACAGAAAAAATCTTCCCTGTTTCTTGCGTCACGCGTGACGTCAAACACTGCGCTCCCACCGCTCAATCCCCGCCTTCCCAACCCCGGTCCCCAAAATAAGAAACTTTGTTGTATCCCAGCACTACTTGACACACATAAAACAAAAAATCGCCCCAACAACTCGATCCACACTCCCTCAACACCATCGCCGCCACAGCATGAAAGAGCGACAACAGCAAAGTCGCCGCTCTGTCTCTCTCTGACCTGTTCGCTCTGCTCGATGACCACGTGAGGGTTCACGGAGCTCGTCCCAGCCACCACGGGCACCTTCCCCCCGACTTCCTCCACCGTGATGTCCAGCACCAGCTGCCGCTCCGCCGTGGACAGCACCGACGCTTCTCCGGTGGTTCCCAGGGCGACGATGCCGTCGGTGCCGCTGTCCACGTGCCAGCGGAGCAGCCCTCTCAACGCCTCCTCGTCGATCTGCTCACGTCACACCCGCCCCCCCAATTAAGAAGAAAGAAGAGGACAACAAAAAAACACAGGAAAACGAGTACTCCGGAGTACGAGGTATGGCATGTGAACTTGCCCACACAGAAGCAAACCGACAATGCATTTGCGATATGAGAGAGATCGACGACCAAAAAATCTTTCACGGTCTACGCGGTTTTGAATATTTTCGCGGGTACTGCAACTGGTGTACTCACGGGCGTGGCGGCCCAAGACAAAAAGCGAGCGGAAACCCGACCTTCTACCACCTCTGTTGAGGGCTTCCGTGGTCGCGATCGGAAGTTTGCTTACCATTCCATCCAAAGTCATCGGTGTCACCAGTGCCACGTAGGACCCGGGCCCCACTTCCATCTGAAAAAAAAAAAAAAACGAAGACAGCAGTAAAATAGCAAACGAAGCGGACCAACCAATCAGAGCGCGACACGCGGTGCGGGATGAAGCGAGCAGGATTCATGGCTCGAGTGAGTGATTGACCGCACCCCCTCCATCTGAAAACAACAGCGGGCGGTGACAATGGATACGGCCATCGAGACCAGGGTGGCGTAACAAGCGCCGAGCACATAACGGACGATTTACTCCGGGCGAATATGTAGGCGAGAGGACATGTGCGTCGACGTAAACCGCCTACTCTTCGGTGGGCATGGGTGTAGCAACAAGGGGGATACGCAGGGGAAATCATGTTAGGCGTAACCCCATTCTGTTCACATGAGCAGTTGCTAAGCATAGCTGGGCTACGGGAGCAAGACTCCAAAGCATAATATATCAGGAACGACGGTACCTTCTATGATACCAGCATGCACTGCTCCATTTGGTGGAGGGGGTCGGTACGTAGACACGGCAATTAATTGTACGTTTGAGGTCCTACATACTGGCTTCTAGCAGAGCACGTTTTTTTACTCAATCGATGGCATATTTTGAGCTGCTGACTTAAACAAAGATGATTTGAAAAACGTGCGCGCGTATATACACACACCTACAAAGCTGCGACAGTATAGTTGCGTAGCTGTGACCTCGACACCTGCTTCGTCAATCAGCTCGTGGTAGCGTGTTGAGAGGCGTCAAACGCTGATGCCGGATACGACTTGTGGAAATTCTGGCATGACAATAGGCATGAAGTTCCTGCTTGGTACGACGTAGCCAAAGAGATTGCCTTGGTTCGACCCTGGGTTGAACTAAGGCAACCTCTTTTGCTACCTTGTCTTCTAACGAGCAGGAACATTGAATGAACCCTGTCGTCGTGCCAGGATTTCCGCAAATCGCATCAAGCATCCACGTTAGACGCCGCCATGTTGTACTCCGCACACTACCGAAACATCAGAGCGCTCCCAGAGTATCTATTGTAACACGAGGTGTGCAACCAGCACTCCTAGGTAGAAAACGAAGCAAACGTACACACAGACACGGCACCCCGCGGGCTTGAATGCGTTGCTGCTCTGAGTTGTCCCGCTAAGACTCGTGTCAAATCATTGGCCAGTCGGTGCTATTTAGTCCTTTTTCTACCGCGAGCTGATTGATGGGGCAGGTGTCGGGGTCGCAGCTACAACAATCGCAGCTTCCGTATCTTATCGTGCGTGTGTACGCGCGCGCGCGTTGGTCCTTCTCAAGCCCAACAGAGCATCGAAATGCTACAAGACACTGCTGCGTTTTCCCTTATCTCTTTGTGGTAAAGTTCGTGTGATGTCGCTTCTTCTTCTCTGTCGGTGACACTGCTATGTGTGGGCGCTTCACGTGTGCCCCCCGCCTAAGTCATGATGAGTGTGAGTTATTCGGCACACACAACTTTTTCCCCTACATAGGGCAGTTTCGGGAGGGGGGGGCACGCCTAACACGCTGTACAAAGACCGACGTGTTTTCATTGGTCAACCGGTTTATGCGGCTGGACGCTAACTGAACTCCTAGATAATAATGCGCGACACATACCTTCATCCCGAGGTTGCACGAGCCTTGTCTCACACGGCGAGCTGCGAGCCAGAGGTAGGAACATCAGGCGCGATTGGACATGCGGGGGGTTTCAATCAGAGTCGGACACACAGTCCCGCGAAACTACATACATACACACACCGCACAAACACGGCCTGCCGCGCGAGGGTCACCAGGCGAGGCCATCAAGTGGCAGGCCTTTGCAATGGTGAGTATCATAGGTGTTTCTACCGCAACACCATTGCCTTTCCGGGAGGGCATCGCCAAGCGATTCTTCGAAATCACACGTATGCATACCGGTCAGGACTTTGGCTCCGCGGGTAACGGACCATGTCATGCTCTGGTACACGGCACACGGCTAAGCATGTGCACGTACCGTTTAAGGATGGCGACCATCGCGCACCCCTTGAGACCGGACCTCGAAGCTCGATTTGCTCGACCGCCAAAGCGTCGGAATAACCATCTACAAAGCTCTCTGGACGGCATCGTTCCTAAACCATTCTCTTCGTTCGGAATTTTCGCCCTCATAACGTGCACCCTTCATAGCATTGGCATCATCCGAGAAATCGAGCCTAGACATTATGTCTCAAGGTTGGTTGTGATTGCCAGCATGCTTTCGGTATTCTCTTCCAGCGCCATACAATACCAAGGTTGGACCAAATGGACTGCGGACGTGTTCGGCGCCGCTACAGTACCGTAGCCGACGACTTCGTATGTAACGGCATATTCCAGTCGCCGAACGAGCATGGCAACAACAACACATCCCTCTCTCCGTAGGCCGGCGCATCGTTTTTTTCTCGAAGCGGTATCTCCATGCCAAGCGTTTCCCGGCTACCCGCTCTTTAGATTGCCGCGGGTCTGCCTCCTTTCGACTTCATATAGGGTCGAAGGTCCATGTTCAAACAATGCCGAGGGAACAGCGGGCGGGGCGGTTTCCCCACACTGACCACCAACTCACCCTCACTGTTGCTGCGCGACGCCGGACCAGCCAGGCGCGCCTGGGCCCAAGACGGATACGCCCCGGCCCTAGACCCCGCTCCTACTGCTGCTCGTATACCGAAGCAGTCCGTAGGCATTGGAGGGCGGCGCAAGGAACATCGTGTAGGGGAAGCATGATTTCAAAATCCAGGAAAGCGCATCTGGGGGCGCACATGCATACTTGCAGGATATTCACTGCTTTCGACTGGGGGTACGGCTTTGCGTGGGGACTACGCCTATACCGACGTGGAGCCCAATCTAGACAATGATTCCACTGGAACGTTCTTCCTCTAGTCGGTCAATGCAGCGCAACGTGAGAGGTGCGCGTCTCTAGCAGCTAGCTACAGAGCAGTCTACATTAGTTAGGTACAGAGCAGCACGTTGCGCCTTCGTTCGTTGGTTTGCAAACAGATCGACACATGATGAGAGAGGCTGTTTTGCCCACCTCGCTGCAACACCTCACACACCTGCGGTGTTGACTACGAATGCATCAGCAGCGTTTATCAGCAGAACAGCCACCACAGCAGCCCCCGACCAAGCAGAAACGGCTGCTGTTCTCATCACCGCCATTGTCGAAGAACCAGCGCTGCCACGGAGAGGTGGACAAGGTGCTGCTGCTGTGGTTTGAAAGGTTGTTGCCGGGTCGATCAGCCTCTGCCTTCGGCACGCAAGGAACCGACTTCGGAGCAAAAGCACAGCGAGGCACCAGAGACCTAGAAGGGTCTGACTAGGACGGTAGTGTGGACGGGTGGAGAGAGAGCCTGTGCGTGTGTCTCTCTGTACCGAGAAGGCCACGCCCAACCAGCAGCAGCAAGCAAGCGCAAGGGGGGACGCGAATGCTACTTTCGAGCAGTCTGTGTGTGCCCCACTGTCCTGTCCTGCCGTGTAGTCTCGCCACCACCTCGCTGCTCGAGCAACTTGAGTAAGAGGTGTCCTGACTCCCTTGTCATCTCCCCTCTAGTGCCGATTTCTACCTACCATGGCCGCTAGAGTATCGGCCAAGAAGGCTCTCGATCTGATAGCAGGGTCGTTTGCTCCCCGGGGTGGAGCGGGTGCGGTGCGCCCTGCTTCGGCCGGCCTGACGACGGCAGCCTCGCGACCGTTTTCACGACTAGCTCCCACCACGACCTTCTCCAAGGAGCGTTCCAAGTCGGTGTACGAGCACGGGGCGCACCGAAGTGATGCCGAGGCGAGAATCGCGGAGGTGCCGGTGGTGATGGTGGACGGGCCAGTCGCGTTGTGCGATGGAGGTAAGCGAAGCGAAGATCAGCAGCAGGAACGGGGAAAATAGAGCGTTTTTGTCCCAAAATGTTCGTGCAGAGTGCAGAGGCAACGCGTTTGTTTCCGGAGTCGGCGGGCCTGATGCCCGCCTGCTGCTGCTCCGTGTGCCAGCCCCATTGTCTTTGTTGGTGTATTACTGTTTTGCTGCTGCAGCCGCGTGTGTTTGTTTCGCTGGGGTGTGATTCTAGGTTTTGTTTTCCTTCGCCGACGAATGAACAACCGGCGTGACGTCCTTGGTTGAGTTTGTTCACCTGTCGGCCCTGGTCAGCGTTCCCCTTACACACACGCACACCTTCCTCTGTACCGACCTCTACCGACAACCGACAGAGAGAGAGATGTGGACTCGCTACATGTATTGCTATTGTACGATAGGTGGTATATGTGCACTTCCTGCCCGTACTCCTGCGACTTATTTTCGAGTATGATGCCCTGAAACTGTATAGACTTCATGCATACCGCACCTCGCGTGCATTGTACAGCAGATATCACGTGACGATCGTCTCGACAACAGCACTGCGGGGTAGCAACAGCAGAATGTCCGCTCAGAGGTAGCAAGCGCTGCTCGCGCCGATGTTTGTCAAGGAGACACCAGACACCAGACCACATGCAAACAACGCATTTTTCACCACCGTCCTAAACCTGACGGCTATGTTTGTAGCAGACCCCGCCGCTGAAGAAAGCCCCTCACCTGACTTCCCCGGCGCGCAGCGGTTTTGCGAAATTCGTATCAAGGGAGTCCCATCAACCACACCAGCGCGTCGCTTGTCTCTCCTACTCCTATAAGAGTAGCCTCCCGAACAGCCTTCGCACATATGTGGCCCTAGGAAAATCGTGCGCACAGTTGGCCGCTCGGGAAGGCAGGACGGCAGAAGGAAATAGATGCCATTCCAATCTACGCAAAACATGAGAAAACGGCCGAGTAAAGCTGAGACGAGGGCGATGGCCGAATTCTGCAAAATCGGCTTTGGATGTTGCCCCACTCGCACCCAGGAGGACACGACTGCTGTCACCGCTATCCCACATATTTTGGCCCAACAACCGTGCAAGGAGGGGACCGTTAGCCAATGACTGTGAAATATTTTGCTGAAACGCGGTATAAACATAGCTCGATCTCGGCCACAACGTAAGGAACGCCCCAACAAGAAACGTGATGGTGCGATTCCCCCATGACATCAGAAATCTGCGGTGCTCCAACCCCCTCCCAAGCTGAACAGAAGTGCATTTTTTGTAGGGGGCAGAGCCTCCCCCCCTACCCGCCCCCCCGCGCCCCTGCTGTTCACAGCGAGTGCTGTACTGTAGTCCGCCACACATCGCGGACAATCATATGCTCTCCGCTGTTGTACGGGTGTGATGGCACTCTCCATCACCTCTCTTGAGGGCTTGATGATGTGTGTTGTCCTCAGAGATCAAACGACAGACAAAAGAAAATACGAAGTACTTGTTGTAGTCTAAGGAATACGAGAATCGGCAGGATGCGACAGTCCAAAGGGAGAAGAAATGCCATTCACGGAATGGACGACTTGGGCCGGTACTTCGACCCAATAGAAGGGATTGGTGAGGCTCGAACCGATTTTGACGTTTCTTAACTGCAGGCGCTATCTGTAGATTCGAACGTCCTCCAAGCGAGAGGTAAGCTCGCCCTCGGTGAGGGACGAGGTTATGCACGACTCTTGTTTTGGCGGCATCAGAAGGACCGCCGGTAGATGGGAGGAATCTATCCATACCAACACCCTGTTACAGCTGCAGCAGCAAACCGCTCGCTACTTCTGCTGTCTGTGCGTCGCTACTTCTGCAATCACTGTGGTGCGTGGTTCGTGCAAAGAGTGGTCCGCAGGCCCGCAGCATACAAAAAAAGGGGGGTACGCGGCAGAAAAATGGGGGTAACCCTTTATCGTATTTTCTGCCGGGCCCCCGGTGCTCAGCAAAACTTTTCCTATAAGCGGGGAGTTTCCTTCACGCGAGCGTCCTTAAAGCGGGGTCGATTGTAAGATGCTAGAACGGCGCTTCGTCCCAAACGGGGTTGCGTCGTCAACGGTCTTCCGATCAAAACCAGCAACAATTGAGTCACCCCCCCCCCCAACCNTTGTAAGATGCTAGAACGGCGCTTCGTCCCAAACGGGGTTGCGTCGTCAACGGTCTTCCGATCAAAACCAGCAACAATTGAGTCCCCCCCCCCCCCAACCTCGCCTACAACTGCAGCCTGCCGCCATCCGCATCACCTTGATTCGCGATGCGGTGCAATGCTAGCCTATTGAGGAAATCCCCGATGGGGTGCTATCCTAGCCTGGTCAGCGAACTCTTGTCGTGCTCCGCTCCGGCTTTGTTTGGCATGCGGTCACCATCGTGTCTGCAGCAGACGGCATTGAACTTCTCGATAAAAATCGGCCGTGTACCCCTGCGCCCCCCGCGCTCGCCGCTCTGCGTATCCTGACCCGCTCTGTTTGTACCATTTCAGGCGGGGGTGCGCTAGGACACCCATTGGACTACATTCAGCTGGCCAGTCCCGATGGCGGCCCACGCGCTTGCCAGTACTGCGGAATAATGTACCAGATGAAGACGCACTAACGGAACCCAACTGAATACTGGAGTCTAGCCGCGGAGCGGGGTGTTACTTTGTCCGATGGGTTCCTGAGTTGGGCGGTTTTAGGAGGGCGGTTGTTTGATGCGAGGTTTCTGGCTTCGTGGCGGTGGCGCGGCGCCGAAATTTGTTCGTGCTAAATCAACCGCAGTCAACGTCGCCACTCCAAGCGCTATTTGAGTGTTTTGTGTGGCGACTGGGTGGCCTGTTGTTTGTTTCTCCGGACGTTGTATATACGAACGCTGGTCGCTGTATCGGTTGCGTTGCGTTTCGCGTTGGAGTGACGACTGCTGTGTGGTCAGCCGGCCTGTATGTTTTCCTGGCATGACGTACTGTTTCTGTTGCTTTGTGCTTAGTAGTAGTTTCATGCATAGCAGATGTTGCGAAGCATGCGCGTTGAACAGGCAAGCTTGATGCCCTAAGAGAGTGAGTCCATTCTACCACCTACTGCCGTTAATACGCCCCACCTGCTGCGCGGTGCCATTAATGGTGGACAGGGGGGGGGTGCGAGATTCGAGTTGGAAGGTACTTGGGGGACCAGCCAGTCAACCGGAACCGGAATGACTAATTTGTTTTTTGAGTAGATACTGCCGCAACTCACGATGCCGGACGAGACAAAATACAGACGCACCCGTGAGGTTATCATGGGGTGCCGAAAAGGAAAGGTGGCCAACTACGAGGGAAACGCTGCACGTGGTCGTTTCCAGCAATAGCGATCAAACTAAATAGCTCTCGCTTGTTCTTGTCGACCTGAGCCTCACAAAGCTCTTCTCTCATCGACCACCTCGACCTTTTTGGTTCCCACATATGATGCAAGTGGTTTCGTGTTGGACGATGTGTCTTTCTGTTGAGCCCTGTCTCTATCTACGATAGCAAACCGCGGCATCTCGTGTAGCCGAGACGATGGGTTGTGGAGGGATCTATCTCCCCTGCAAAGCCCCTTTTGCGTCGTCGAGGAGCTCTCTCCCTTAACATTAAACATCGAGCCAGACTCCCGGTCCAAACCTTCACATCGCAGTTTCGGGTGTAGTCTTCTAGTTTGAGGTGCAAGAAAGAACACGTACGTGTCGATGCGGAGGGCGAGTTTTTGTTGGTCAATCTTTCGTTCACGAAGGATGGCAGAGGTATGTGGCTGCGCACTGCCGAAAACGGCCCACGTCGCACAATTGACGAGCCCTGGATCATTCAATATTTTTCCCTGCATGAAGGCAATGCTACGTGCGCATCCAGCAGGCTGGCGCACAATTCGCCTTTTTAGTACGTGCCTGGTCTTGTTCGGCGGAAGCTGGAGGAAACTCATGAAGCAACACGTGATGATACTCCCCGTGACGCCCGTCCAGCTCACCACGACGCACGACCTCAACTGAACAGCACTACATTGTCGTGTCAACACAAGAGCATTGTCGTACTCCACTGATATATCGTCATTTTCACTGAACAGCACTAAATTGCCCTTTCAACACAAGAGCGTTGTCGTACTCCACTGATATATTGTCGTCTTCTTTCTCTTGCGGAAAGGCAAGCGATCAATCGTTCCAGCAGGGGTGGTTCATTGCGTCGCCTACACATGGTGAACAAAACGACGTAGCATACTGCTGTGTATGCTATCACGGTGCGTAGTCCTTCCGAAGGATTTTTGCGATAGTCGACAGCTGGATGTTGGAGGTTCCCTGTGAATGCAAGTGTGATGCGAAAGAGAGAGGGTAGAGAGAGATACATGGAAGAGAGAGAGACAGAGAGAAACAGAGAGAGCGAGAGAGAGAGAGGCACACAGACGGACGGCCAGGACAAAATGTGCAAGAAAAACGCCACTTGTTGTGATCGGTGAATCGACAGAGTGGTTCGTTCATCGGTTTGGAAGCAAACACATCGACATACACACGATCGCCCCGGTGGTCTAGTGGGTAACCTCGCAGCCTGTTAAGGGCCAGGTCATGGGTTCGAGTGCCGGCAGAGTGAGTTTTTTTCTCACTAAATAAATCCTGGTCTAGGATGAAAGCGACGCGTTGCAAGGCGCGTTGTTAGTAAACCATAATCGACTTCGTAAGTCGCGAGGGAAGGGATTGCTGTACCCTTCTCGCGATAAAAATACCTCAGGCATGAACCGCAGGAGGGGGTCCAGCCCCCCCCTCCTATGTGACCCCGGTTGGGTCGTCTAGCTAGTAGAGGAAGTGGAGGATAGGGGCCAGAGGGGCAGACGACAGAGTCCAATGATGGGAGAAAAACAAATAACAAAAAAACATAAGCAACAGAGAAAGAATAACAGCGATACAAGGTGATCCAATGCGTGGGGAGGCATGGATGGATGGATTCGCAACCTTGTAACCAATCAATGTGGAGCAGAATGAAACCTGAGGGGAAGGTGATGATGACATAAGCAACAGAGAAAGACTAGCAGCGATACGGGGTGATCCATTGCGTGGGGAGGCATTGATGGGTTGTAACCTTGTATCCGACAATGTGGAGCAGAGTGATTCCTGAGGGAAAGGTGATGATGGGTTGAAACGCACCTCATAGATCGCTCCGATTTTGCAGTCTCGGTAGAACTTCTCAGCAAGGAACGCCTTGGTGAACTATGCATGTACGTGGAGACCACAACAACACCGCCGTGCCGCGATCCCCCCCCCATGAAGCAAACCACCACCACCGCCACCACCACCACCAGTATTGCAACGATGAAAGAGCGGAACAGGCGGCAAGAGAGAGCGGGAAAATAGCCGCAGGTTGAACACGGTAGGCGATTATTTACATAGGGCAAGTGATTCATTACAAAACATGGCAAGCGATTCATTAGCTCAAACCTCCCTTTCGCGAAGGTACTGGCGGTGTGTAGGTTTCGAGAGTATTGCAACGCGAGGCTCTCCGTCCCTTTCGCGAAGGTACTGGCGGTGTGTAGGTTTCGAGAGTATTGCAACGCGAGGCTCTCCGTCCCTTTCGCGAAGGTACTGGCGGTGTGTAGGTTTCGAGAGTATTGCAACGCGAAGCTCTCCGTTCACATCATGCCCCTGCACGGTGACCCTTGGTGTGGGAATGAATCATTGAAACAGTCTCATACCTCGCCCAGTTAAGCGAACAACCGCAGGTGCGGCAGCATCATTCAATGGGCGGCAAGAGGAAGCACCAAACCTCCAACGTGGGGTGGCCTCTTGTAGTGAAAAATGATCAAATACGACTACTTTCACAACCATTACCCAGCCTTTCAGTTGTTTTCAGAGGGGTAATCTACTGCAAGCGAGCAGCCGAAACTCACCCCCACACCGCCCAGCCATTCGACGCACTTGGAAGCAGTCCTCTCAGCCACCTGTCGGGATTGAGCACAAAGCATACCCTTGGCCATATTAGGAACGAAAAAGACGTTGTTGATGCGCCTTTGATCTACTCCGGTGTGTTGGTGAAGGAAACTATCGCTCCTCTACTTCCCCTACTGGGTGTGGGTTGATTTTGTTGTGTGCGATCCTGCACAGGACAACCTTTCACTTGCGGTCGCTAGGCATGGTACGTATCATCCCACATACACAAACCATTGGCAATACCAAGGGTTGACCACGTATCACGCACACCGTGTTCCGAGAAGGGTGGCTCTGAAATTTTGGTGACAACTATCAACATAGGGGTGCCGTTGCCGGGTGATCCGACAAGATCGGTCAACAGTCGAAAAGCCAAGAACTCCAATCCACACACACACAGTACACACATACTTCGAAGTACAAGATACAGTAGTGGGCCCTATATAGTGCAGGGGTCTGTCGTGAGAATTTACCTGCACTATAGCAGGCACCTGCACTACTGAAAAGGGTGCCCTCGATAGTGCAGGTTCTGCACTATTGGGGCTTTGAATATTCCTCGATAGTGCAGGTTCTGCACTATTGAGGCACTCTTCGACTTCACGTTGTGAGTGTGGCGTCCGCGCTTTGCGGGGCCAACAGAGTACGAAATGGATCGAGATTGTGGATTAATAGTGGACGAAGCTAACTCTCAGTCCTCGTTGCCTGCCTTCCCTCGATGTTGGTGATAGAAAAAGACTTGCGTGTATAAAAAAGATACGACAGAAAGCCCACTGTAAAAACACGAGCAACCATGTACTGCTGGCCCCTGCCATCATTACGTGATGATCAAACTCTCATGTCTCCCTGGCGCACCTGGCTTCGATTTAGCAAGAACCAACACACACACGACCAGCCAGGCGCAACCTCACTCCGTCGTGCCAATTTATCTGACCCCTGCCGCACCGGCTGCTATGTTGCAAGAAAAAAAAACACAAGTAAAAAAGAGAGAAAAACATGCAGGAAGGTCACTGCAAAGAAAAATCAAGCAAGCATGCACCCCGCACCCTTGCTAACGTCGTGACAAACTCCCTTATGACTGCCCGGCGCACCCGCTGCGATGTTGCGGGAAAAAAAACAAAAAGAAACGAGAAAGGCGCATAGGAAGCTGACTGCAAGGAAAAAAAAACAACCACGTACACCCGCCGCCTTCACTACGTCTCGACAAACTCTCTCATGTCTGCCTGGCGCACCCGCTTAGCGGCATGCGCTGCGATCATCGCCATTTTTGCTTTCTGCAGATGGAACGCCGCGTCTCCATTGCCACTCTCATCTGCTGCCGATTCCAGGACGCCGAAGTGAGGTGACAGCTCACTATAAGCCGGTGGAGCACGGCGCTCGCGCCCCGTGTTCTCACCGCCACCGCCATCTTCCGTTTCATCTTCCTCATCGCAGCCGGAAGAAATGCGCGCTCCAGCTAGCAATGCCGCCATGTCGTCCGCCGCGTCCAGCCGAAGAGCCTCTACCACCTCAGCATCGTCCTCGATGGTAGCCCATCTCTGAATTGCGCTCACCGCTTTCCCCCCGAGCGGCTGTCCAGGCTCGATGTTGAGTTCTGCCAGCAGTTCGGCGATCTCGTCATCTACGACGGCGGATCCCTGCTTCTGCGCGTCGCTCACGCTCGTGCTCAACGTGTTGACAGTCTCCGTGAGAGCCTTCAGGTCAGGCTCGGCGATGTCGAACCGGGTCTTTCCGTGTTGCTTGGTGAGCTCCGCCGCCATGTCCTCTGGAAGCGTCTCGGCTTTGACGAAGCACCTGGTGCGAGGTAGCGCAGAAAATGCGATTCATCAGTTTTTGGGTGAACAAGCGATGTTAGACGAACAATTGACCCAACGGGATGTGAGAGAAAACCCTTTTGGTAGTGAAGATACACTGGATATGTCCAGATGCTGGAATACTCGGCCAAAAAAAGAAAACCGAACAAATGTACACACCCAAGTATCGCACCACAGAAGCCAGGTGCACGCGCGCTAGCTGAACATTCAAAATCGCGATGGCAATGTTCACACCTCACCTGGCAATATCCTGAGGGGTGACGCTGGCCCATGCTTTCTGGAGAAGTTCAGCCGCGTCCCGCACATGAGGTTGGTGCCCTTGCGCCAGCCCCATTGTCCCGGCCTTCATCTTGCGGGCTTTGGCCTGGGCGCGAAGTGTGTCAGCCACCAACATGGTTGATGCCTTCACATCGAGCAGCTCCTTCCTGTAGATGACCTTCGTCTTAGCGATGACCCCCAGATCCATGGGCATGGTGCGCCTCTGCGCTGCGTACAGCTCTTCGGGTCTGCAGCAGCACGCGCGCCGCGTTTGTGTTGCGTCTATCCGCTGTTCGTGAGTGTGTGTCTTGTTTTTCTCTTGATCGCGTGTGTGTGTGTGTGTGAATGTTTCTCCACCTGCACTATTGCGGGGCACCGCGGTGCCCAACCTGCACTATATCGGGTATCTGCCTCAATAGTGCAGATCCTGCACTATTGAGGGCGCCGTCTGTGCGCAGAGATTTTACCTGCACTATATCGGGCGGTTGCACTATTCAAAGTGCACTATAGGGGGCCCACTACTGTAACGGACTTGTTCCACCCCAACCGCCCCCCTTGCCCAGCCCTCACCTGCGACGTGTAGAGCTTCGACATGGCTGCTTCCTTGACGAAGGGCTGACCTGCTTCCTTCATCCGTGCCGCTGACCGATACAAGGCCCTAGAGTAGCAACAAGCCAAGGGGGAGGGTGTTAGTTTTACCCCATTCCGGAGGGAGGCCTTAGTAGATTTCTCAATATTTTGAGCGCTTCCCGCGCGTCCCAACAAGCGTGGACGGCCACTCTTCCTTCTCCAAACAGAGGCACCGTCAACACTCGGGGGCTTAAAAACGCCTACCCTACGTAACGTAGGAGAGCGGAGGGGGGGTCCACAGTTTTGTGCACGGGCGTAGTGCTCACTGACCATAACATAAGACCATTGCTTCCGGGATATCATGTCGAGATTCGCAGAAACATGGGGTGTGTCGGGGAGCTGTGTAGGGTTGGTTGTGGGTCTGTCGGCCGTGTTTCGCTGGTACCGTGAATCGAGCACCGGCACAGCTGATGTTGCTCGATGCTTCGAAAAATGTTGGGGTGATATGGAGAGATAGCAAGCCTCCCATCTCTCCTAGGCAGAACCAACGACAATAGCACGGGTTTGGTGCCGCGCGTTGTCCTTCAAGCGGAACCCCAAGAACACACACGTACGCACGACAACTGGCGAACTACTACTGTACCGTGTGCGTGCTGCATGGGGGACAAGCGGCGTTTCTTCCTGTGCATATTAAACCCAAGTGGTTTTCGTTGAAAGAGCGACTCACGAGGCAGCCTCGACCTCCGTGGCCGCTTGCGCGACCTGGTGCTGCATGCCCTGGAAGTCCCCGACGAAGCCGCCGAACTGCTTCCGCTCGAAGAGGTACGGCACTGTGGCTGACAGGCAGCCCTCGGCGAGGCCGGCCATCTGCGCGCCGATGCCTATGCGGCCCTCGTTCAAGATCTCGATCGCGTACCTGTAGCCTTGCCCCACCTGCAGAGAAAAAGAAAAACACACGAGCGATTGAGACAACGGAGAGGTCGATTAGTACCACCCTATTCACCGCTGTAGTATGTGCGGCATGCCCAGACAAAAAAAGGTACAAGACATGCGGTAGTATGCACCACATGCCGACGCCCTAGAGCAAGTGGCTTTGTTTCTTCGGGAGTGTTTATGGCATGTTGCGTCATTCCTGATGGCCTCGACGGCAAAAGTCATCAGGTCTTATCGAGACGCAAGCCGTTCCTTCCGATGAAGACCCATATTTTCTTGTGCAAGGCCAATATTCATTGCACTCCTCTTGTCCCATGTTTTCGGAATAACCAAAAAATATCGAAAGAAGAGCAAGGTTCCATCACCGATGCTTTCATTACCGATGCTTGAGGAACCGCCAGCAATCTACACAAACAGCTCGCCACAGCCTCATGCTTTGATATGCAAATCCCAACGCACCCGACTCAACCCTTCACTTGATAGAAAATCATATTTGATCGCAGGTGACTAATAACAGAAAGCACGTTCTCACTTCGCCGAGGACGTTCGTCGCGGGCACCTCGCAGCCGCTGAAGGTCACGGGGCACGTGGACGAAGCACGAATCCCGAGCTTTTCCTCCTTCGGCCCTACGGTAACTCCTCCGAACCCTGAAAACAACAGACATGCGAGAAACAGAAACGAGATATGGGAATAAGTATATTTCGCATTAGGGTACGCCCTTCATGATGCGGGGCGTGTTCTCATATTTTGCATGCCTTAGCCGCCAGACCATTGTCCACGCGTCCTCGAGAGGACGGAGCATTGTTCCCACAGGACCGATCACCGACGGCCAATTGTTGCTCCCTACTTTGCCAAAGGTGGCTGAAAAATGTTTACCCTGGCCCATCTGTCCTATCGACATGAAGGGGGTGTATCTTCGTACATGGCTGGTGTTTCACGTTTATTGGTCAGATCCTACATAGGACCGAGGGTAAGCCCTCCATTTTCTGACAAAGGAGGAAAAAACACGCCTAATAGTACATTTTTGCAAAAGCACTACCCAAGTAATCGGAACAATATAAGACGACAGCGGCCCCTCGCTCCTCCCGAAAAGATGCAGACAAGAGTGAAAAAACAGAGGAGAGGAGCATCTGGCTCCAATACGCCCCAGTTTTTCCACCTTGCCAGTAGCCATCCCCATGTTCAGGCGCGTACAATTGTGTCAGCACAGCGGCGAGATCTTTTCACGCTTGTCCCACAAGCAGAACCACATCCTGCCGTCGACGAGGTTAGGTGTGGTTTCCCCTCCCACCGATGCTCTTCCACGTCAGACTGTGTAGGGGTTCGTTCTGAATGGCCAGTTGGCCTGCTTTTATAAGCATGACGAGGCTATCTATCATCTATCTACCTCCCCCCGTCCGTCCGAAAGTCCCCCACTGGGCGGTGGAGGACTCAGAGCTAAGACGCCCCAAAACTCTCCGCCGTGACATCCAAAATGGATCGAACGGTGGAGGGGGTGGGGGGTGTTCGTTGCTTGAAGTGGATCAATAAAACATAGAGCCATCAAAGCAAAGCTTATTACTCACCTCGAGCAAGCTGAACGACCAGACCAACCACGCAAAAACTGCGGAGCTAGATGTGCGGCACTCACAATGCATTGTTTTCGATTGGAGAGAGGCGAGTATAAAGCAGTAAGGAATTGTTGGCCAAACTTTCGGCAGATAATTTAGGTCTACTCGGGAGCGTAAGTGGGGTAGCAACCCATGGTGGAGCGTACGTGAGAAGGTGGACGTTGGTGTACGCTCCATCCCGGCGTGTGAGTAGGATCTTAGGCTATGCAAGTCGTCCCTGAACTTGTTGTGCGAAAATGACCTCCCAGGAGGAAAGTAGCCTGTACCGCGGGACTTCGGAGATGATAAATTGGGTGGTCGGGGGACGTCTGGGTGTTTACTAAGCAGAGCGCCCGGCACAAGACTGGGGTACTTGTGCCAGGAGGTGTGAACTTGGATCTAGACTACGAGCCTATGTTGGAGGCGCTATTTAGCGTCGGTGAGCCGGCAAAAGAACTGAAAGGAACCACAACCCCCGCCGGACACTCGGAATGGGAAGGCCGAGTATTCCGTATACCTTCCTGAAAGAACACGAACAACGAGTGGCCACGGTCCAGTTGCCGTAGAGATCATGAGGATGGTGAAGAAGCCGGGAGGATGGAAGCAGAAACTGTGGAAGGGAGACAGGTTGGAGCTGCTGCTGTTTGGGATTCCAAGGGACATGACGAGGATAGAGTTCAAGAACTGTTGTGACAGGGAGGGACTGCACTGCCTAGCAAGGGGACAAGTAGGCAGAGCATGAAAACTTCCGGGTGAAATCGACCAAGGGAGACA